ATTTTTTGTTTTTCTTTAATAAATAATTAATGCTCATTTAAAGTTTTATTTTCAAATTATACTAATTCATTTATATTTTTTTTTATTAAATTTATAATAAATAATTAATATTTATATATATTTTTTATTAAATTTATGGTAACTAACATTCATTTAGATTTTTTATTTCATTTATAATTAATAATTAATATTCATTTATATATTTTTTATTTAATTTATAATAAATAATGAATATTCATTTATATTTTTTATTTACAAATGTTACTAATTAAATCATATTTTTTATTTCCAAATAGTAATTCATATAGTTGGCAAAAGGTATTAGACCAGAATGGACATTATATATTTCAATTAAATATTTATTCACTATAAGTAAAGCGTCTATCATTTTCATAAAAAAAAGAAACTATTTTCTGAACAACAGAATAATCTAAATTATTCTACATAAGTGTGGTGTCTTAAATTACGCAGTTAAAAAATATTGAATATTTATTATTCATTAATGTAACAATTATGGATTTTTAAGATAATTATTTATTTCTAATTCCCTTAAATAATGGACATTAAAAGGCATTGAGTTGACATCCATGAAGTTGATAATGATCGCATAGATATATGTATCAAAGCTACTTTTGTATTTTTAATTTTTCGAATAATTTTCATTAAAGAGCTTATTGGTAATACAATGATAAGCCACATTTTCCCTAACATGAAATTTTACATCAAATTTTTGTCAATACTGTTTCTAGATGGGTATTCTACAAGCTAAATAAACTCTACACGCAGAACCATCTTACCTCCAAGATAGAAATCAAAACTTTCTGAACAATTTGAAAATGTGGCTTATCATTGTATTGTTTCGAGTTGTTCAATTCACTGAATGGGATTGAAATTGAGGGCTCTTAACTAGATAGTCTTGAAAATCTTTTGAAAGGTACGTTATGAATGGCAACTATGAATTCTACTCCATCAAAACCAGTTTCAGCACAATAACTTATTTCTTGTATTGTTCTTTCCATCCAATTTGAAATAATTTCCAAGGATTAAATACCTTGATCTTTTACCCATTTATTGTAGAATGATAAAACCTTCAACTGGCTTTATTTTTTCTCTTTTTCTATATAATTATTTTAAAATAATAGCACAATACTTCTTGGCGGAACTAGCTGATTAAAATTTGATTCGTCTTTCAGAAATTAGTTTGGCTCGCTTTAATTTTAATCAACATTTTTAAACAAGTTCTCAAAGGACAAATTATTAAAAGAGATCTGAAATAAAAATTACGTTGTTTTAATTTATTTTCGCAATTCTTATTTAAGTATTATGCTTAAAATTATTTTCTATTTTTGATTATGATTTAATATTTAAGAAAAAATCCAATTATGTTTTCCAATTTTGACCGGATTTATACCTTAAAATTTCAATACTGATCGTGATAAAAAAGGGGTATTTTAAGTACTATTTAAGGTACAAGATTTTGAAATTTAAAAAGATCGGAGTAATATATATAGCTTTGCAAGATATGTAGCTAATGATAAGCTCTTAAATTAGGATTTAATTTTTAAAAGACAATGTAAGTTTTAAAAAAATTTCTTAGTGAAAAATACTGCGATTACCTTGTAGGTAATAAAACATATCTGCGTGCTGTTATTTACAGAAACGTTTGGAAAGGTGTTAAGTAATTATATTTTAAAATAATACTGACATGAAGTTTGATGAAAAAATTTAAGCTTTGGCGAAAAGGAATTATCGCTAAATTTCTGCAAGTCTTTTATTTATGCACCATTTATATTTGTAATTTGAGGTTAAAAATACAAAATTATTTATGAATCGATGTGCACTGTGAAAAATTTGAAATGAGTTGAGTGAAAATAGTGTTAAAATTTCTGCAACTTTAATTGTAACTCGCCCAACTTTTTTTTTAACTCTCAGCATAGTACACTGTTAGAAAGGGCTTCTCAAAATTGAGAAAAAGAGTGTCAAATACCTCAGATAGAAATATAGTTGAATTTGAGAATCCCATGAACTCAGCATTGAGCATAGTGACATGCTCAAAATATAACAACATATATATGTGAAACAGCATACTTTACAGAGTATAAAACTCAAGTAGTTCATCATTATCCATTCCCTGCTTAAATATTGTTCGTTGTTGTATATTATTTACTTATAATTCGTGCACGAGTTTTTCTACACTCATAAGAAAAAAGTTTTATGCTTAAATTGCATATTAAACTACACGAAAAGAGAGTCGTTTCAAAAACAATTTCATAAATCAAACTAATTGTTCGGTTTTTTTTTCTTTCTGAGCATTTTTAAGATTTTCTTCAAAGATTAATGAGAAATATTAAAGGTATCAATCATTCGAACCCCCATTTTTTCCCATAGTGCCTTATTAGATAATATTTTAATATTTTATAATAATATTATTTTCCTATATTCCTACATTACCTTATGGTTAATATTTTCATTCATTTTCTACCAATTACATTCAAATCCCACAGTTGGAGGATTTACAAACTAACGTTTTTAGTCATCATTTGCACTTGATTCGCTTCATTATTTTTTCATTATTTGCACTCGATTTGCTTCCCATAATTATGGTTTTAAAATTTTAAAACTTTGCGAAATAACACTAACAATAACACTTTGCGGAATAACAACGAAATGTTGCTAGATTCAAAGTGATTTGAGAGGAGGCATTCATCATCAAATTATGTCCCCAGAGTCCCCACTAAGTAAAAGAAAAGAGCTCAATCACAGTTCAGAGTACAATTTTACATATTGAACAAATTATCTGTGTTTATTTGAATGAAATTGACTGTGTAAGGATATTAATATTTTATATACGAAGACTATTAATGGGAATTAAAATTTTATCAAAATCAATAGTGGAAATTCAGACAAAACAGGGTCCTTAAAGCTTTTTTTTCCCTAAGAAACTTCATGAATAAAATTGCTTAAATTTTTATTTCAATGATAAAATTACTCTTTAACTATAAAAAAAAATATTTAATGTAAAAAGCTACATTTTTGAAAGTAAATCATTATTTTTTTGGAATTTTACCTTGTTGGATAAATATATGAAAAATAAAAAACAATAATATTTTTTTCCTACTGAAAGAAAAACTGATAGTCCATCATTGTTGTTTTCATTATCAGTTGACTAATTTCTATCATGTATAAAGTTTAAAATGTGTGAAATATGTCCCCAATTTTTTAACAACTGGCTCGCGTACTCCAGGATTTTTCGAGGTGTCTAAAATTTTGGTTTGTTTTTTTGGTTAAGACATTTTGAGGTATTCACAAACTAGCAATTATCCATTAAAGTGTATGCAAACGATGTCTCTTGAATCTGTTTTTTTAAACAATAATTATGCCTATTTCAAACCCTTTCTCGTTATGTAAACGGTTTGTCAGATTTGCATTGTCTTAAATAAACACTCAGTGCTTTAGGATTTAATTTTTGAATCTCCAGCTCTTGGTTTATATTATATTTGCTTTAAATCTTGGTTATTATTTAGTTTATATCTTGGCTCTTGGTTATTAGCTCTTCTTTCTTGGTTTGTTGTTGGAATTAAAAATATAAATAGCGTGAAAAGCTCTTGGTGTACAGATTATTTATATTTTTAATTCCAACAACAAGTTTTCATCAAATCAGAAACGAATTTTCTGATTTTATATTTGATCGAGTCTCGGTTTTATACGACAGCAGCATTTAACAGAAAATTATGGCTTAGCATATTTTAAACGTAATGTAAAATCTGTTTTATTAGTATTAAACAACAGCTGAAAAGTAGCTTGATCTAATAACTTGCCTAAATATATCGTCAAGTAATACTTGGTAAAATAAATTGGGGGAGCGAAAATCAGATTTTTTTTTATCGATCTACTGATAGCATGGACGCCATGCTATTAGTAGACTGTTTGTAACTAGTTTCAGGTAAATAATTCAGATAAATAGCAGCAGTAGTTTAGAAAAAATGCAGAGTCCCGGTTTTGTCCAAAACTTTCCTATTTATTGAAATAAACACCATATCATTAAATGTTGTTCTTTCCACAAAAAGAAAAGGAGTTATAAATGCTCTGCACTCAGGCAGTGACATGACGTGCGTTTTGGATACCAGGGCCAAATTCCTTGATTAGGTGCTCTTTAAAAAAAGGGGAGTAATTACTAGAAAGATATAAGAGAAAGCTAATTTTAATTAGAAGAGAAATAAAAAACATTAAAATGATAGGCATTTATAAAAATACTAATCCATATTTTAAATACCTTTTATCTTAATATAAGTTGAAATGATTCTATGGTAAGAAATTTATTACTCCCAACAAAATATTCTTAAATTTAAGGAGTATTTAAAATTTAATGACCTAAAACATTATTATCAAATTCGCTTAAAACCCATATTTCATTTTTCTTGAAATAGTTGGCTTCAGACTTTACCCCCATGGCTGAATTGGAAGCCTGGGACAGTTGCTCCCTTTACCTCATGTCACTGTGTTTAAGGCCCCACTCAGGTGCAAGAAATCAGACCCGTGGGTTAACTTGAATAGTTTTGTTTAAATCTATAATTTACTTATACAAAATATAAAAAGTACTGACTTTTTTGGGATTGTAACTCTTGGATTATGCTTTTTGTTGTTCTTGCCAGTTAAATAATTGAAAAGAAGTTATTAAAACTACAAAAAAAATAATCCCCTTATTTTTATGCATTTTGTTGAGAATTTGTATTTAGCACTTAATGAGAGATTAAAAAACATTCATGGGAAGGACGTTCGGCGGGGAATGAACAAATAAAATGTCCCCTCAATAATAAAATGCTGTACTACAAAGACTAAATTATGAGCCTAATAAATTTAGTGTTAATCATCTGCGTGTCAAAAAGAGTTGGAGGACCCCTAGTGATAAAACCAAAGGTGGTCAATCTTTATCACCAAGATTTCTTATCCCAAAAAGATGACGTCATCAAACAATACATCCAATAAGATTCAACGTATCGAATCATAGTTGTTGAATTTCTAGGCTATTGTAATGGATGAAAGTAAAAACTTCAAGAAATATATTGGCTGAAATTTCACAATTAAAAGGTATTGTTTTAAATATTTTTTGACCTAATTCCCTTCTTTTCGAGTCTTAATTGCTTTTTAAATAAAGCTATATTGGAATACAATTTAAAGTTTATAGATACGACATTTTTATTTGCAGCATAGATTGTTTTGATTTTAAAATTTATACGTAGAAAACAATAAGCAAATTTTCGGTTGATAACATTTTCATTGTTTTTGCTGAAATAAATATAAATGCAAAATATTAAAAAATATTTCAAAGAATTTTTTATTTTCTGTATAAAATGTGACAAAACATATTAACATTTGGTATATGTAGACACGAATTATAAAATGATTTTAAAATTTAATCGGTTAAAAATTTCAAATCGGAAAACTCATTTTTATTATAGTAGCATATCAGTAACATACTATAAATTAATAAAATGGACAAAATATTTAAATTGATATTAATTTTGATTTAAGACTGTTAGTATTTACTTGAATTGATCATCATTCATTAATTAAGTGAAAATTTTACCTGATTTGCAAATTGTTTTTCAACTACCGTTTGAAATAAAATATGCCGTCAAAAACTTCGTTAATTATTTTTAATACTTTACAAAATATATTATAGTGTTTCCTATAGTGTTACGAATTTTAAATTGAGTAAGAGTTTAAACGGTTATGTAATTAATTTTGGTAATTGTTTCGCATCCTAATAACAACGTATGAGTAACATTCGCAAAATTATTAGAATATACATTTTTAAATCCTGATTATTATTATTTACTTAAATTGATTGTTTTTGATTTTCGTAAATTTTTCGTGGAGTGCAGGAATATTTGAAATTGGGTTCCACTGTTTTGAATATGAGACTTGAACAAAAATTTTCCACAGAATTTAAAATTTTTTTAAAAACATTTGTAAAGGATACTTATAATTTTTTTAAGCAATTAATTCAGCCATTACCTTCGCATTTTCGATAGAATTCGCTTACATCATTTTTAAATTAATAAAAACCATAAGCAATATTTTAAGTGTTACAAGATTCTAAAATTTCTTACTCAATTTTTTTTCTATATTAATAGTAAATGTCATGAAATAAACTGAAAAATTATAAATAAAATCGCGCTTGCTTTATTCAAAAAGTTGTTTAATTTCTGCTTTACTTGAAACAACCTAAAAATTTTTATATTTCAAAAAGCAATGTAAAAGACCAAAAATATCTTAAATTTAAAAAATAAAATTAAAATTTAAAATTATGCAAGATTTAACGAAAAAAAATTTTCGGAATTAAAGGGGTTGTGGATAATACAGTAATTAGCCACATTTTTCCTAAGGTAGCATGTCGCCAATAGCTCACTGTGCAGCTCTGAATAGCTCTTAGTGCAACGTAAATATTACTTACCTACCTACTACTAAATATTACTTATTATTATATACCTACTTACCTAAGGTAACATTTTTACATCAGACTGTTATTTAGTATTATTTCCAGATTGAAAATTTACAAGGTTTTATAATTTTAACTAGAAAACAGCTCAATATATTGAATGTTGTAGTGTTTTTTTAATCTAAAAACTAGTTTAAAAAAGGCTGTTCTGCGCAGTTTAAAAATCTAACTTATATTACTGCCCTTTATTTTTATCTATCTAAATATCTGTTAAATGTAAATAAATTAATTATTAAATAATTTACAAACTAACGTTTTTTTTGACAATTAGAAAAACCACTTAGACCACTACAGCCACTAAATTATCAAACTAACGATGTCATTTTAAAATTTAAAAGAAATTCATATTTAAAATTAGAACTCCGGCATTATTAGATATTGTGATTTATCATTATATTATCTCGAGCCTTTCCGTTGCATTTAATGAAATACTTGTAAAAGAAAAATAAAGAATAAATTAATAAGAATGATAGTAATAGGATACATTATAGTAAAATCTAACCTATATTACAGTCCATTGATTGTATCTATCTATATATTTGTTGAACTTCAATTAAATTAATTAAATAATTAACAAACTAACATTTTTTTGACAATAAGAAAACCACTTAGTCAGATGCATTAAAAAGGCTAAATTATGAACCGAACGCTGTCATTGTAAAATTTAAAGGAAATTTATATTTATCACAAGCCTTTCCATTGCGTTTAATAAAATATTTGTAAAATGAAAATAAATGAATAAATTAATAATTAATTTAGCAAACATTTTTTTACATGTGAAAAAATAATTTCTGTGAACCAATGTTACACTATTCGATGAGCCCCGAATGGAATTTCGATGAGTACTATGGCCACGTCTTCTTTTTACCATATAAGGAAATATCAAGCAACTATCAATTATCAGAAACTATGAAACAAACGCTGGATAAATGCTGTCGTTGATGAAATTTAAAAGAAACTCTTACTTAAAAATAGAACTCCCGTAGAATTAGAAATTATGACTTATTATTATGTTATCCTCAGTTTTGCATTTATATTTACTGAAATATTTGATAAACTTGAATAAATTAATAACTAAATAAACAAATTAAAATGTTTTTTTACACTCAAAACAAGTCATTTTCAAGTCGGACTTCGAAATAATTATCAAATGAATGCTTGATAGATGCCGTTAATGATAAACTTTAAAACAAACTTTTACTTAAAAATAGAACTCATAAGCGATTAGAAAACATTACTTATCTCCGTATTGCGCAAGCCCTTTAATGGTATTTACTAAAATATTTGTTGTATAAAAATAAATATATAAATAAGTTTATTATTGACATTCGCATAAACCACTTTCGAGTCTATTTATATCAAAATTAATTGTCAAACGAATGCTTCATAAATGCTGCAATTTATAAAATTAAAAAGATATTTAAAAAATGGTTTAAGTCAAATTTATGGATAAAAATTAATTTATTTAAACTTATTTTGCCTCTCAGAGCGGTCCAAAAATGTACCATAGATTAAGTTTCCTTTTTTTTTTACAACTAAGAGCAAAATAATTGACCAGTGAGCACATTTCGAATATTTTATTAATATTAACATATATATATATATATATATATATATATATCGAGTTAATGAGCTAATTAGCTTAGTAATTTATTTAAAATGCATGCATATATTAATAAAATAATAAATGTATGTTTTCTAAGTGTCTGTAGTTATGATTTAATAATTAAAATGATTAATAATAATTATGATAGTGAAGTAACTGCAAACTTTCAAAGACAAGTGCAACAAGGGGGTGTGATGGCTATTTTTCCTTTCCCATATAAATCTATGTATTGACAACAATGACAAACTAAATAAAAAGAGTTGAAAATAACAAAAATTTAAGAAATCCATAGTAGAGTTTGGGGAAAAAACAAAGAAGGGTTGAGGANATATATATATATATATATATATATATATATATATATATATATATATATATATATATATATATATATATATATATATATATATATATATATATATATATATATATATATATATATATATATATATATATATATATATATATATATATATATATATATATATATATATATATATATATATATATATATATATATATATATATATATATATATATATATATATATATATATATATATATATATATATATATATATATATATATATATATATATATATATATATATATATATATATATATATATATATATATATATATATATATATATATATATATATATATATATATATATATATATATATATATATATATATATATATATATATATATATATATATATATATATATATATATATATATATATATATATATATATATATATATATATATATATATATATATATATATATATATATATATATATATATATATATATATATATATATATATATATATATATATATATATATATATATATATATATATATATATATATATATATATATATATATATATATATATATATATATATATATATATATATATATATATATATATATATATATATATATATATATATATATATATATATATATATATATATATATATATATATATATATATATATATATATATATATATATATATATATATATATATATATATATATATATATATATATATATATATATATATATATATATATATATATATATATATATATATATATATATATATATATATATATATATATATATATATATATATATATATATATATATATATATATATATATATATATATATATATATATATATATATATATATATATATATATATATATATATATATATATATATATATATATATATATATATATATATATATATATATATATATATATATATATATATATATATATATATATATATATATATATATATATATATATATATATATATATATATATATATATATATATATATATATATATATATATATATATATATATATATATATATATATATATATATATATATATATATATATATATATATATATATATATATATATATATATATATATATATATATATATATATATATATATATATATATATATATATATATATATATATATATATATATATATATATATATATATATATATATATATATATATATATATATATATATATATATATATATATATATATATATATATATATATATATATATATATATATATATATATATATATATATATATATATATATATATATATATATATATATATATATATATATATATATATATATATATATATATATATATATATATATATATATATATATATATATATATATATATATATATATATATATATATATATATATATATATATATATATATATATATATATATATATATATATATATATATATATATATATATATGTATATATATATATATATATATATATATATATATATATATATATATATATATAACTTTTTCTTTGTCAGTGCAGATTTGCATCAACCTGTTTAATTGAACAGCATCCAGAACCGTTTTAGTAGGTTTAAGAAGGATGGTA